GGGCCACCATGAGTCAAGATTGACTCAAGGGCAGTTAACAACAACAAAACTGCAAACCCCAGAGGCAGCCAGAGTAGTTACAGGGGAATAGTTAACAGTGTAGTGTGATAATCTCCATAGTCCAACCACTGCATCACACTAGTTCTCCATTATTCAAAAGTACTAGAAGCTTTAAAGTAAAATGGATGCCAGGGATAGGCATCAGGACTTCTATGATAGTTCCCCCCCTCCCTTTCCCTAGAATCCCAGTCTTGAATCCCATTTGGGGAGAAAGATGGGTTTTTGAAAGCCTGTGATCCAGGTCTGTCTCAAGCCTTGAGAGAAACATTTGAGTTCTTGAATAAGGAGAGGGCAAGTGGAAGGAGAAGAAGAAAAAGGCCACAGAGTTTATATGTGTGAAGCCAGAATTGTGTACATGGCATGTCTCTCTCCTCATCCTTTGGTGGGCTTTCTTAGACTGCATCTGCATTGCAGAATTAATGCAGTTTGACACCGCTTTAACTGCCATGGCTCAATGCTATGGAATTCTGGGATTTGTAATTTTGTGACATTCATCCTCTCTGTCAGAGATCTCTGGTGCCACAACAAACAACAAATCCCAGGATTCCATAGGATGGAGCCATGGCAGTTAAAGTGGTATCAAACTGCATTAATTCTGCAGTGTGGCAGCAGCCACAGTGTTGGCCTTAATTGAGTTCAGGTCTTGTAATTCAGTTTTTGTTGTCTCCCTTTAACAAGGAGGCAAATAATGGCTTAGTGTTATACAGCAAGGAAATATACATGGAATGAAATAAATAATAAATCATGCTCTTGACTGTTGATGCTTCTCTTGCAGTAATGTTACAGTCCTATGATTATTTAGTCACACATATATCCTAAGTTCAAAAATGTTTACTCTCAAGATAGTAGATATATTATTACAGCCTTAAAATATAGAGTAGCTGTGGAATAGCTTTTTTAAACTGGAAGCAACAAAACCACATTTAGAGCCTTAAAGACACAGATTTATTGTAACAAAACATTCAGTAAAAATTAATCAGTATCAAATAAAGTAGTCTGGGAAAGTTTATGCTTTGTCATTTTTGCTACCTTACAGCAGACATAGAGACAACAAAATAGTTCCTTCTTTAAAAGAAATACAAATATATAGAATCATAGAGTTGGAAGAGACCACAAGGGCTATCCAGTCCAACCCCCTGCCATGCAGGAACTCCCAATCAAAGCATCCCCAACAGATGGCCATCCAGCCTCTGCTTAAAGACCTCCAAGGAAGGAGACTCCACTACTCTCCGAGGGAGTGTGTTCCACTGTCGAACCGCCCTTACTGTCAGGAAGTTCCTCCTAATGTTGAGGTGAAATCTCTTTTCTTGCAGCTTGCATCCATTGTTTCGGGTCCTAGTCTCTGGAGCAGCAGAAAACAAGCTTGTTCCCTCCTCGATATGACATCCCTTCAAATATTTAAACACGGCTATCATATCACCTTTCAGCCTTCTCTTCTCCAGGCTAAACATCCCCAGCTCTCTAAGTCGTTAATCATAGGGCTTGATTTCCAGACCCTTCACCATTTTAGTTGCCCTCCATGAGTAATCTACCTTCATTTCTTAGCATCTTCATAGACATTGATCTTCACAGATACTGTGCAGCAATTAAGCTTCAAGGAGGTTTTGCTTCTGATATTGAGGCACATATAGGGCTATTATAGAGTACTTATTAAGGGGGTTTGCAGACTGCCAGAAATAGTGCAATTTGAGTCCACTTTTAGGGCTAGGGTTAGGGAATCATGGGAACTGTATTTTATTGTGGCACCAGAGCTCTCTGACAGAGAAGGCTCAGTGTCTCAGGAAAAAAACAATTCCCATGATTCCTTAGCACTAACCCTAACCCTAAAAGTGGACTCAATTTGCACTATTTCTGGCAGTCTGCAACCCCCCTAAGATCATTTACTATGGTTTAGTGACTGATCAGGGGACTGTACTTACCGTACATCTTTATTCTCTGAATATTTGTTAGTTTTCTGTTCTATCTTCTGCCTTTCTACAGGGGGAGCTATAGGATCAAACTCTGAATCAGAAGGGTGTTTTGTATAGTAACATAATCCTGAAGTGAATTCTTTCAAGTGGTTTCATGCATACCAATATTTAATGTAGTTCAGATTTCTGACCAATTTCTGGAAAAACATATGTGCTCTTAACATCACTTTGGTTAAATCATCCATATGTCCATGATTAATTGTTTTAAAGATATCTATAATCATTCTTTTCTTTCCAGTATTGGGCAGACTTATTCCTCTATTCAAAAATGTCATATCCTCCTCCAGAATCCTATTAAATTTTATTACTCATGATTATGTACATGAATTTTTTTGTGCCAAACATTATTTTCTTGTATCCTTAAAGGTCATTGTTTTTGCTCCTTCACCGAGTCTCCCCCATTTTTTTGTTATTAGTATCCAAATTGAAATTAATATATTGAGAACCCTGTTTCTACTTTTGGATGTTCCTTGTCCATCCAAGAGGAATGTCAAGTCCATTATACCAAATAACGTCTTCAACACGCTTGTTTACAGAAACTGAGAACTCCTTTAGGTCTTTCATTTTACAATTCCTAAAGAGTTTTATAATATTGTAGCACTAAGAACAATGCAATCAGTTTACATAATAAAACAATACAGTGGTGATAAAATAAAGTATTTCATTTTGAGAATGATGACTTAAGAATGCTTTGATTAAAGAATAGAAATTCAATGGACTGAGATGTAAATTGACATGAATGGTGCTTACGAGGGGGTGTCATAAAGTTTTAATTATCACCTTTTAAAAAATTGACAAAGTTTGTTTTGATTTGTAATTGTTAATTTATCTCTACATAGTCACCATCCAGATTTTCATATTTTCCCCAGCGTTTATTGCAGGGGTAGGCAACCTTTCCCCTTTAAGGGCTGAGGGACTTCAGCTCCCAGAAACCTGGTTTATTGACCCTCCAAATATCTATTGTAGAAGTCTTCAGATTGTGCTTTATGAGGGGGCATCATAAAGTAATAATTGTCACCCAGAAGTTATTGTGATATATTGATGAAATTTTGTCAGTATCATCATAGGTCCCTAAGTGCATTATGTTAAGAAAATCAGCTCATTTATTTTCAGTGTCCTTTATTTTTGTGACAGGTTGTGCCAGAAGGGACTAAAGTGTAAAATCCTCATAAGGCACAATCTGTAGACTTCTACAATAACAGTATTCGGAGGGTCAAGAATTGCTGGGAAAATTATGTAAATCTGGATGGTGACTTGTAGAAATAAGTTAACAACTACAAATCAAAACAAACTTTCTGTCCAATTTTTTTTTTTTTTTTGGAAAGGTGATAATGAAAACTTTACAGTACCCCCTCGTACAGTCAAAATAAAGTTAGGATTACAACATTAATGTAGTAGTAATTGAATGAGAGCAA